CACCCAGGGCACTGCCCTCAGCTGCACCTGAGCCTCGCAGGGCTGCCAGAGCAGCTCCAGCACTGCTGCGTGTGCCTGCAGCCAGAGCAGCCCCCAAAAGTGTACTTATAGTTATAGTTCCCATAACTATTCAAATAAAGCATTTCCATAACCAGCCCACAACTGCCAGCAGTCTGCAAAGCGACAAAGAAAGGCTTTCTCAAATACGTTTCAGGAGAAGGAAGATGAAAATGCAGATGGGGGGTTTTGTTTGGGGCCACATCAAGCCAGCTTTTGTGAGCTGATGTTTGTCCTTGTGGGCCTCACAGGCTGTGATCAGATGGAACACATTGGGATGTTGGGACTGTGCTGTGCAGGGCCAGCACTTGGACTCGATGATCCTGGTGAGTCCCTTCCAACTCAGGGTGTTCTGTGGTCCAGTAAAACCCGACACACGCCAGACCTGAGGCATCAAATGCCCTTTACATGAAGCCTACAACAAAATTTCAGTCATAGACAAGGACATTTAAAATAAATCAGGTTTAGGGTGGGGTTTTTTTTGTTATTATTGTAACTACACAGCAACCAGCAGCAATTCCTGTGCCCTCCCATCCCACGGGGATGCCAGCAGTGGTCATGGCACTGAGCTACCACTGTCAGCCTCCTGCAGGAGATCATTAAAACTCACTGCCAATTAAAGCCCGGGCAGTGAGGAGGTGCCTGCCCAGCCCAGGGGCTCAAGGGTCACCAGCAGTGGCCCTCCCAAGCCATCCCTTGCATCACTCCCTGTCCCGAGGCCACATCTGCATTTCCCACATGGCCTCAGATAGGCCATTAAACTGAAGAACCAAATGGTGTTTCCCGAGGAGAGGAGCTCCCAGCAAAGTGCTGATTCCAGGAATTCTGGAGGGAGGGAGGGAGGGCTCTGGCAAGGGGAGGGGAAGAGCAAAGTCTCCTTCCCAGCCCTGCCAGGAGGGTGCCAGGCACACACAAGGCACACATCTGTGCTCCTGGGCCCTCTCCAGCTGTTTGGGAGAATGCTAGACAGGAAATTGATGCCACAGGGCAAATATTCATTCTTCCCGAGTTCCCTCCCAAAGCAAGCCCAGATCTGCCCTGGCTAGACCGGCTTCCTGCGGCCTCCCCGGAGCACCCCCGGCAGAAATGACGAAAATGTGTGTGAGGTGGAAAAACAAACAAACAAGGGCCTGCCAGATGTTTGCAACACCGACCCGGGAGCACAGAGCTCCCAGAGCAGCTGATGCTCACGTTGCTCTTCCAAACCAGCCTTGGAGCAGCTGCCAAGTCCAACCTCCGACCCAGTACCCCCATTCCCACTAAAGCCTGTCCCAAGGGCCACTTCTGGAACCCTTGCTGGGACAATGGGTGCTCGGGGTGGGAGTGGGGTGTTTGCTGCTGCATCCCTGCCCTCTGGCACTGGGAGCCATTCCCTGGGTCCTGTCCCAGTCCCAATTCCCAGTTCCCAATCTCCCACCCATCCCTGCCCTCTGGCACTGGGAGCCATTCCCTGGGTCCTGTCCCAGTCAGGAATTCCCAATTCCCAATCTCCCACCCATCCCTGCCCTCTGGCACTGGGAGCCATTCCCTGGGTCCTGTCCCTCCATCCCTGTCCCCAGTCCCTCACCAGCTCTCCCTGGAGCCCCTCCAGGTCCTGGCAGGGCTCTGAGCTCTCCCTGGAGCTCCTCCTCTCCAGGTGAGCCCCCCCAGCTCTCCCAGCCTGGCTCCAGCCCCCAGAGCATCTCTGAGCCTCCTCTGGACTGGCCCTGCAGCCCCACAGCAGCTCCAGGCCAGGACAAACAGGGTGCCCTGAATGCAAACCAATATTCCTCCTTTCCCTGCTTTGCTGCTTGCAGTAATTATTGCTCTTTGTGCACTATAATGGCCTCCAGAACGTGGTACAAATGTGGGCACTAGAAACACTTGTGTGGTTTTATCAGACAGTTCTGCAATGTGCTTCCCATGCCTAATGCTGTGGAAAATGGGCAGGAATGAGACAGAAGCACCTGGAACATCGCTGTCAGCAGGAGATTTCCGAGCTCAGCAGATCCCAGCTGAGATTATCTGGAAGAGGCATCAGTTGGTGCCTTGGCCTCGGTGCTGCATCTGAGTGAAAGGCAGAGCCCTTTGGTCTGACTGTGCAAACACCGAGTTCCTGGGAAACAAACAGCAATTTCATTCCATGGTGGTATTTACTGCAGCACTTCCCTGCCCTGTCCTTCCTGTGACCCAGCTGAGGGTGTTTGGGATGGCTCCCCATGCACACCCGGCCTGGGACAGCAGCACCAACAGGGGAGGCTGGACAGGGACTGGGGCAGCCTGCTCTGCTGGAGAGTGGAGGTGGGGACGGCCAGGAACTGCCCCAGCTTTGGGGATGGACTGGCAGAGAGACTCCAGGAGCTGGGCCAGGAGCTGGGCAGCAGATCCACCCTCTGGATATCACGGATATCATTGTCCCAGAACCACGGAATGGTTTGGGTTGGGAGGGACCTTAAATCCCATCCCATCCCTTCCACTGGGGACACCTTCCCCTATCCCAGGCTGCTCCAAGCCCCATCCAGCCCGGCTCTGGACACTTCCAGGGATGCAGGGGCAGGCACAGTATCTCTGGATCATCCCCACCAAGCTGAGCCCGTGTCCTGCCAGGCCCAGCCCGTGGTGTGGCCCCTGTGGGTCCTGTCCCCTGCTGGGCTGCAGAGGCACAGGGAGAGCACAGAGTGCACAGCCAAACAAACCCCAGCGTGGGTCAGCACATGGGAATGTGCTCCTCGTGCACGGGCAGAAGGCAGGAGCTGATTTATCACGGGCTAATTACGCATGAGACAACTTGTACCCGGCTGGTTGGACGAGAGGGAGCCCGAGGAAAATTGAGGCAACAACAACCCTTAGGTCAACCTGACATTTGTTGTTGGGTCTGTGGGAAATTATTCTCATAAAAACAGACTGTGTAGCCATAAGAGAAAAATAAATATTAATGCAGAGGATGTGCTGCAATGGTTGGATGGGGATGAAGAAACCCCAGGGGCAGCCAGAGATGCTCCCTGTGTCCATCCCCCAGTTCTCACCCCTGTGAGATTTCCACATTAAAAACTACAAATAAGGCCGGGCAGGGGGTTGGTGCTGGGATCACGAGGCTCTGCTGTGATGTGCTCTGTGCCACCCATGACTCAGCCCCTCATGAGGAACCAAATTCCCCTCCAGCAGAAGGAACCCAGGGTCAGTCTGTGCCCACCCTGCTGTGACACCGAGGGCACCCTGGCCTTGTCTCACTCTGCTTCTCCCTGAAAGCAAAGGGATTTTTTTTCCCAGACAAAACTCTGGTGAGCTATGGGAGAACCACAGAAATCCTATGGAAGTCCTGGGAGAGCACCCAGCCCTGACATCCTGCTCCCAAAAACCTCTCACTGCATCCATTTATGGCCCAAGGCTGGAGCTCACACACCCAGGCTGCAGCCCAGGAGCTGGGGTGTCCTCCTGGGCCACCACAATCCTGCATTTCGGGGGGTTTTACCCCTCCCAGGGACATTGCTGTGCTTGGAGGGGGTGCAGGAGCTGGGCAGGTCCAGCCCTGCAGTTTCCTGAAGGACCTGGTGTGACCTCAGAGCTGCTTGGAGCAGGACATTGGTTTGGACACCTCCCAAGGCTCCTTCCCACTCCCAGGACACCTCCCAGGGAACCTTCCCACCACCAGCACCTCCTTACACCTTCCTTGGAGCCACTTCCCCAAGCAGAGCTCTGGAGGGGCAGGAACATTTCCCACTCCAGGGTCATTCTCTGATGAAATCCCACACTGCACAGCCCCAGAGTCACCAGAACAATCCCCAGGCAGGGACAGAGCCCAGCCGGGTCCCTGTGGGTGCCCCTGGCCAGGGTGGCCACTCGGGAGCAGCGTTTGTGCCCTGTGGGCACTGGGGAGGGTCTGGCTGTTCCCAGCACCGTCGGGCTGCTGACACTCGAGTCTCCTCTAGGAACAGCTCCTGCCCAGCTCCCAAATCCGCTCCTGCTCAGCCTGTTCCTTCCTCCCGCCCTCTGGGGCACCTTTATCCCTCTGTGCAGAACAGGCTGTCCCCTGACAAAGCCCAGGCACGGCTGTGACCGCGGCAGGGGTGGCCTCACCCTTCGCTGTCACCCATCACTGCCCTGGCAGTGCCCAAGCACAGGGTCCCCAGGCAGCCACCGGAGCCCTCTGGAACAGCAACAACCCAACACAGCCCCACAGCAACAGCAACAACCCAACACAGCCCCACAGGAACAGCAACAACCCAACACAGCCCCATGGGAACAGCAACCCTCACTGCAAGGCTTTGGCTCTGAAGTCAGCCCAAAATCTCCATCCCAAACCCTGGACACCTGCAGCCCGTGGTGGTCTCAGCTCTCAGCAGACTGCAGCAGACTGTCCCAAGGCACAGCTGAGTCAGGGGACAGCCCCAGGACACAGAGCCTGAGGGTCCCTCCCCACCCCAGGGAGCCACCTGAGCTCCCCAGAGCTCCCAGCCCCACCTGTGCTGCTGCAGGAGCCTCCAGAGGGACACACAGTTCCTGCTGAAGGTCCTGGTGAGGACAGGGCACCTCAGGGACATCCAAACCAGTCACACAGTCAGTGGTTTGGGAGGGGAGCGACCTCAGAGCCCACCCTGCACCACCCTGCACAGGCAGGGACACCAACAAGTGACAGACTCAGTGTCCCTGATCCTGCTGGGAAGTCACCCCAGCTCTTAAACCCTCCCCACAGACAGACCATGCTAATTTCTTCCTGCTTTTCCTTGATTTTAGAAAATGATCTTTTTGTGTTGTCCTGTTCAATAATGCCAAGTAGGAGCAGGGGGTAGTTCTGTGATCTTGCCCTCGGTCTCTCTGAAATGTGATAATAAAAAGTAGTGGTTGGGGGCACGTCTTATTCAATATCCTGGGGATGAAATGTGGTTCTGAGTCCCTGGAAGTGGCCACGCTGAAATGTTGAGAGATCAGGGCGTGAGGCCACTGAAATAACACCCACAGACACATTCTGAAACATGAATATTTACTAACATAAATAACGGTGTTTTATAACAAAAGGCACAGATTTCCAACTATAAACAATGGAAAAAAATATGTACAATTTGCACACAGGGAATTAGACCAGCAAGTGCACAGTTGGTCACTCACATTAGCGACCTTCCTTCCTTCCAAGTCATTTAACCAGTTAGGAAGTGTCCAGATTTTATCCCCCCACACACACCAACTGCTGCCAGCTGAGGCTGTCAGATGGAGACGGTGCTGCTGACCTCCTCGTACTGGATGATGAAGTAGGGGTAGCTCTGGTCATCGTTGAAGATGACAAAGATCTGGGGCTCGAAGAAATTGTCCACGCAGGAGTCGTAGAGGTCGCTGGTGACGCTGCCGGGCTCCACGGGCGGCGGTCTCCTCATGGTGTGGTTGCCCACCGTGTACCTGCCCGTCAGCACCTTGGCCAGGAACATGAAGTGCACGCCCTTGGGGGAGCGCTTGGAGAAGTTGTGGGAGTAGCTGGCCTTCCTGGCGAAGTAGCTGCCCTGGCCGAACATGGTGGCGTGCTTGCCGCACACCCGCGGGTCGAAGTTGTGCTTGCAGATCCCGTCCACCACGTCCTGCGACGTGCCGTGGAACAGGTGCCGCTCGTTCATGATCCTGTCCAGCCCCGACATCTTCTTGGACATGTATTCCTTCTTCCTGCAGGGGAAAATGGGATGTGAAGGTGAGCGTTGGCTGCGGGTCAGCCAGGGAAAAGCTGTTTTCATCATGGTATCACGGCTCAGCTGTGAGAGGAGATACAAATCTCTCTTTATATAACTCCTCCTCTAGGAATATCTGTTGCAGCATTTTTGAGAGAAAGAGGACATGAATTGTGAAATTTGAGCTACTCCAGTCTAGGCCTCAGATTGAGGCCTGGTGAGGCCTTCAAGCCTCTGACGCAGTTAGAAATTCAGAGCTTGTGGCGCAGATAGAAAATGTCTTAAGGTGTCATGGGGACCACTGGGTTGTTTGGGTGTGAATTAGTATAGGTTTTATGGTGTAAAGTGTAGGCCGTTTTAAGGAAAAGGTAAACAATGTTAGCCTACCAATCAGAGTGTCTTTGTTTTTGTAAACTATGTAGAAGCTTATATAAACTACCACCTTATCTTGAATAAAGGGAGAACGCTTGATTAACCACATTGGTTCGAACCTGCGTTTGTCTTGTCCAGCTTTCCGTTTTTCTGAGATTCCCTGGCTTTTAATATCCATTTTAAAAGAACTGCAACTCTCTTACCTTTTATACTTCTCCCAAAGGAACTGGTTCTGCACTCGCAGGATTTTCAAAATCTTGTATTTGGTCTCTGGCACAGTCTTGTGGAACAGGTTGTAAATGGTTCTGTAGCTCTTGTCTTCCTTCAAAACAGGCACTTGGATGAAGTCCTGAGCCGGATCCATTCCAATCCAGGTCTCGGGGTAGAAGCTGGGACAGGTGACAGCAGCTGGGGACAAGTCCTGCGCGGCGGCGGGCTCGGAGCACGGGGAGGGCACGGCAGAGCTGCCGCCCAGGGTCCTGGGGATGGACAAAGCTTGTGCTCAGACACCCTCAGCAGCCTCCAGTCACCCCCAGCGGGGCTGAAAAGCCTCTGGTTGCCATGGAAGTGTCCAAGGCCACGCTGGACAGGGCTTGGAGCACCCTGGGATAGTGGGAAGTGTCTGCCTGTGGCAGGGCATGGCACTGGGTGGGATTTAAGGCCCCTTCCCAAACAGGAAGAGTCTTCCTGGCATTGGCACAGCCAGAGGTGGATTTGCATTCCCAGCTGGTTATTTTCCTGCTCTGGGAATGAATGCTGCCTGGAGAACAGGCAGGCTGAGGGAGGGAGCTGTGCCCAAGAAGCCCCATGGATGCCAGGAAAAAACCCAGCCAAGGTATTTTTTTTACCCCCTGCAGCTCTGTGGAATCCTCCCACTCTGGAAGCTGCTGCTGAACTCAGAGGAGTGGCCTTTGTGGCTGATGTCCCCCCGATCCCACCTGTGCCAAGGGGAACACTGGGACCGTGGCACCTGCAGGGCCCTGGCTCCCACCAGCACAGCTCCTGCAGCTGCAGGAACCCGTGGGGCGAGCTCCAAAGTCCACCAAGGAGGATTTTCCCAAAGTATTTCTCCAGGAAAAGCTGCCAACCCTTCAGTCCCCCGGGGCAGGCAGCAGGACAGAGCCACTGGCTGCTGCCAGACCCAGGCTGGAGCTGCTCTCCGAGCCCCACAGATGGCCAGAAACCAAACCAAACCCAAGGAAAAGCATTGGGAGGGGGAAGTTTAGTGGAAAAAGGTCTATTTTTAAATCAACACATGGAAAGCTGTGACAGCCCTCTCACTTTTCAGGGCAGAAACACTCTCTGAGTGTTCACTGGCTGTTCCCTCCTGCTCCAGGCCAAGGCCAGGATTCCCTTCATTTGCATGGATTTGACTTCACTCCAAGTTCTTCTCACTGGTTATTAACAGTTGAGCAGAAACCCAGAAATTTGTTCTACAAATTACTACTAAAATAGCAGTCAAATACCAAAGTGGGCATTTGTTTTTAATTTGGTTTTTCTCTTTGATGGGCAAATGGGTAAAAAAAATATTCCTGTAGGGCCTCTTCACTCACACTGGACTGAAAGAGCAAACAGAGATTGCCAGTAAGGATTAATGAGAAAGAACCAAATCCAATAAAAATCCTGCAATCCTTTGGTGTAGTTTGTTCACTTCTTCTGACTGGTGTAAAATATTTATGTTATTTATTCTACTGGGGAAGCCATTAAAAAAGTCAACATTTTTCATTCCTATTCCAGGATTCTTTTCCAATTCTAGAAGAGATTTAAGCAGGTGGGAGGTGAGGGAAAGAACAAATCTCAGGTAGCATCATGTGGGACGTGGAGGCAACACTGACTCCTGAAGGATAGATCCCATAAATATTTAAAATACTCTTGTTCTTGCCAAGAATTCATGTTTTTAAGTGAGCTTTACAAGGTCTTTGGATGAATAAAATCAGGACCCAACAGTGCCTGCCCCCTGTCACAGCCCAGGAACACAACTGCCCCATCAGAACCCACGTGGAGGGCAGTGGGAATGGCCCATTTTTGGGGACACATGGCCCATTTTTGGGGACACATGGCCCATTTTTGGGGATACCTTGTGCAGGAAGGGCAGTGGGAATGGCCCTTTTTGGGGATACATGGCCCATTTTTGGGGACACATGGCCCATTTTTGGGGATACATGGCCCAGTTTTGGGGATACATGGCCCATTTTTGGGGATACCTCATGCAAGAAGGGCAGTGGGAATGGCCCATTTTTGGGGATACATGGCCCGTTTTTGGGGACACATGGCCCATTTTTGGGGACACATGGCCCGTTTTTGGGGATACCTACTGCAGGAAGGGCAGTGAGAATAGCCCATTTTTTGGGGACACATGGCCTGTTTTTGGGGATACATGGCCCATTTTTGGGGACACATGGCCCATTTTTGGGGATACATAGCCCATTTTTGGGGACACATGGCCTGTTTTTGGGGACACATGGCCCGTTTTTGGGGATACCTACTGCAGGAAGGGCATGAGCAGCAGGCAGGAGCGCAGCAGGGGCCTCCTCTTGATCTCCCTGCGGAAGCAGGAGTTCTGCTGGAAGCCATCCCTGATGTTAAGGATGTACTGGTTGTGCCAGGTGATGAAGCGCACCTCGCACAGCCCCCGGCAGCTCGCCTCCTCGATCAGCCTCACCACGGGCTGCACGGGAAAAAGGGGGAAAAAAAGGGGGAAAATGGGGGGGAAACAGGGGGGAAATGGGGAAAAGCAGGGGGAAGAACAGGGGGAGAAATGGGGGAGAAAAGATAGGAAAACACGGGGGGAAAACAGGGAAAATTGGGGGGAAATAGAGGGGGAAACGGGGGGGAAAAGGGGGGAAACAGAGGGAAAATGAGGGGAAATCGGAGGAGCAATGGGGAAAAATGGGGAAAAACAGGGGGGAAATGAGGGGGGAAACAGAGGGTGAAATAGGGGGGAAATGGGGGAAAACCGGGGAGAAATGGGTGAGAAACGGGTGAGAAACAGGGTGAGAAACAGGGTGAGAAAACAGGGGGAGAAAACAGGGGGAGAAAACAGAGGGAGAAAACAGAGGGAGAAACCGGGGGAAGAAATGGGAGGGAAATGGGGGAAAACAGGAGGAGAAAACAGGAGGAGAAAACATGAGTGAAATGGGGGGAAAACACGGGGGAAAAATGGGAAGAAAACAGAAAAAAAATGGGGAAAAACCAGGGGAAAAAGGGTGGGGAAAATGGGGGGGAAAACCAAGAGAAATGGGGAGAGAAAGGAGGGGAAAATCAGGGGAAAATGGGGAAGGGAAATGCACATGTGAGAAATCACACGCTCCAAAATTCACATCCTGTCCTACACTGCACAAACCCAGTTCTCCTCACAGCTCCAACACCCTCACCATGTTATTTGTGGTATTTCTGCCCAGGTCTTACACTCAGGAGTTATTTCTGGGACTGCCAGCACTGATGAGGTTTCACCCCAAACATCAGCCCAAGGGCTGCACCCACAGCTCGGGCAGTGCATGTCCTGCCTCAGCAGAGCTCTGGGAACAGGGAAATCAATTCAGAACTGCCAAGGTACGTGGAGGTGCTGCTCTGAAGGCTGCAGAAACTGTGCCACTGGCATGAAACCAAACCAGGCTCCAGAAGGGCTTCCCTGGTACTGCCAGGAGCTGGTTTGCTCCCCAGGGGGACAGTGTGGCCAGCCCTCATGTCTCTGATGCTTTCAGGGTAATTCCAGTCTCAGGAGCCCAGAAGCACGAGCCAGGCCAGCAGAGCTGTCCCTTCCCTGCTGTCTCTGTACCTCAGAGTACTCCCTCCAGCCAAAGTGGTCCCTGCAGAAGTATTTCCACACGGTGTAGCAGCTGGAGCTGGAGCCGGGGCACGAGGCTGTGGACAGGCGCCGCATTTGGTCGAACTCTGCACTTTCATACAGCTTCATGAGGTTCAGATCCACCCAGCACTCCTGGCCCCTGGGGAAAGGGGAGAAACACACAATTCTCACCTTTTGTTTGCCATTTAACACGTCGTGTTCAGCACAGAGGGGCAAAACCTCAACCCAGCAGCTGTCTGAGGTGTAGAATACCGGAATTTGGGTTGGGAGGGAGCCCAAAATCCCACCCAGGGCCACCCCTGGGACACCTCCCACTGTCCCAGGCTGCTCCAAGCCCTGTCCAGCCTGGCCTTGGGCACTGCCAGGGATCCAGGGGCAGCCCCAGCTGCTCTGGACATCTGTGCCAGGGCTGCCCACCCTCCCAGGAACAATTCCTAATCCCCAATATCCCATCCATCCCTGCCCTCTGGTACTGGGAGCCATTCCCCTTGTCCTGGCACTAAGTGTCCTTGTTAAAGCTCCCACAGAGACTCGAGAGGTGAGAACACATTTCTGAAGAATTTCTCCTCACCAGCTCACCAAATAAAGGTTTCTATTTATAAAATTAAGCAGTTCAGTGGAACTGTTTGCACAGAGAGAGTGAGCACGTTGAACTCTTAGAGGAACAGGGCACACAACCCAAATTTGGTGCTGCAGAACAGCACAATTCATAATAAAACTCCACAAGCTCACAACAGCAGAACGTGTCCCCACTAATAAGTTTCATTTTCACTGTTCCCTACATGTAAGAAATAACAGAAGGTGTAAACTTTGCAGGACACTGCACTGAGCAGGTTCCTTGACTGGCAAGTTTTAACACTGATAGATTTTTTTCAGCTTGCTGCAGCCAAAATAAGGAAATTTAGGCTCTTCCCTCCGTCCTTCTGCAGAACTGCAGCCCCAGCCATGAATCCCTCCAGCAGGACAAACACCCTGCAGACGTCAGGTACAGCCAGATGAGCAGAGAAATCAGTTTGGCAGCGCTCTGAGAAGTGCTCTGTGGTTTGCAGAGTTCGGGGACGTGTCGCAGTTACCGCAAGCAGGTTGAGAAAAAACAGAAACCTGCGAGCAGCAGGAAACGAAAGCTGCTCCCAGCAGAACAGCTGTGAGCCAGCAGGGCTCCCACCCCGTCCCTGCCCTGTGAAACTGCTGATCTTCTCCTCTGACTCAACCAGTTCCTCCCTGCAGCAGCACAACCTGTGTGCAGAGAGGCACCAGGGGGTTTGCACAGGGGCAAGGCAGGCACTGGCACTCCTGGTGGCACCAGGACCTCATCTCCTTGGTGCCCTTGATGGCAGCTGCTCATCTCCCACAGATGAGCCCAGCTTTGGGTGGGGGGCTGAGTGTTTCAACTCCTGTGTGAAACCAAACAGCACTTAAAAGGATATCGGCTTCAAAAGATGACGGAAATCACAGATTTAGTTAAATTGGAAAAGCTCCCCCAGAGCATCGAGGCTGTCAAACCCCTCCAGGGATGTGCCAGGGCTGGGCAGCCGCCCAGGAGTTGAATTTGGCAGCACAGGTATTGAAATAGCAGCAGCAGAGCCAGATGTGCTCCCATGGAAAGGCAGGGCAGGAGGAAAGGCCAGAACAATCCCCAGGGATGCCCAACCAGCAGCTCCTCCCAGCCCAGCACTGGCAGCACCCCAGTGCCCAGGACGGGGCTGCCAGGCTGTGCCAGGCACACAGGAACCTCTGCAGCAGGGCAAGAGCACAAACAACACATCTGAGCCTGATCTTATCGGTGCCTCCTCAGTTCAGAGCCCAGAGAGGGGCACCAGGCCCAGGGCAGCACGTGAGTTTCAGATTTTTCTGCATTTTCCCTCTCATCAAGTCACGCTGTGCTCTCTGCGGTGACCCTGGGCCATGTGGGAGGTGACACCTCAGACTGGGAAATGCTGCACACATTTCCCTCTCAGCTCAAAGGGTCCTTCCTCAGAGAAGAACCCAAAATGAGTGACTTTGATGCTTTTCCTGTGTTTATTTTTTAAAGGCTGGAAAGTCTGTTTTTCCCTGCCTTTATCATTGGTGACTGGGGTGCTTGCAAAAGCAATCTTCTGGAATTTTCACAGCCAGGGGGGCAGCTTGTGAACCTGAAACAACTGCTGACAAACTGGCCCATGTATGTATGTGTGTGTGTGTACATATACAGCTTAGATAATGCCTGGCAGGGAAAATAAAAACAGTAATTAAACTGTCCCATGTATGTATGTGTGTGTGTGTACATATACAGCTTAGATGAATGCCTGGCAGGGAAAATAAACAGCAATAATACCAATAACAGTAACACCCCAGCTGTGGATCAGGAAGTCCTCGAGGGCTGCTGGAGGAGAGGAGATTGTACCAGAAGTTGTTTGTTCTTCCCAAGAACCCACTGGGGAACACGAGGTGCTGGGCCAGGGGTCCTGGGGTGCAGGCAGGGGGCTCTCAGGGGATGTGGATGTGTTTGGGAGGGGTTGCTTTCTTTGTTGCATTGGTAAATCACTAAAAGATGCTCCTGCCAGGGCTGGGACTCGATGACCTTTAAGGGTCCTGTCCAACCTAAACTATTTATGTTTTAGAGGAGCAAAGCACAGCTCTGAGTGGCTGCAGAGCTGGTACAGGCAGGGACACTAAAGCTCAGGGACATCTCCCACTGTCCCAGCCCTGTCCAGCCTGGCCTTGGGCACTGCCAGGGATCCAGGGGCAGCCCCAGCTGCTCTGGGCACCTGTGCCAGGCCTGCCCACCCTCCCAGCCAGGAATTCCTTTCCAACATCCCACCTATCCCTGCCTTCTGGCAGTGGAAATTAATTCCCCTTGTTCCATCATTCCAGGCTTTTCCTAAAAATGAATGTTCCCTGTCTGTCACACCTTCCAAAACCAACTTCCCCCCAAAAAAAACCACTCCTGTGTACACGTGGTGCCTACAAGAATCAGATTCCCAATTATTACTCGGGTCAAATCCCTCCTGATTTCAACAACGCAGGAAGGAACTTCCCAATGGCTGCTCCTGCTATGGCAAGCATTGTCACAGCCCCTTGGTGTCCCCTGGCACAGCCCCTGGTGTCCCCCTGCCCTGCCTGGGAGCAGCTCCTGTCCCCAGGAGCAGGCTGACCCCAGCCTGCAGCCAGGGGACAGCTGTTCCCCAGGGTGCAATCTCTTTGGTGACAGGAAACAGGAGCAGGGCTGGCACTGATTGCTGGCTCCCCTGCTTTGTGCAGCCAGGAGCCAATTAGTTCCATTTCATATGGAAATGCTGCTGCAAAGTGCAGCAAGAAGGAGCCCACACAGCACAAGGCAAACACTTCCAAAATCACTTCACAGGAGTTTCATTGAGGCTGTGCCTTGCATTCCTGCTGGAAAGGAATGAAAAGCAGCTCCCAGCCTCAGAGGGTATAGCCAAGAACCTCCCCCAAACCCAGCACAGGGACTCTCAGCTGGTTTCCCATCCTGTTATCACTAACAGATGGTTATCTCACACACTTGGTGTGTGGGTCACACAGAAAACTTCTGAAATGGAACTGTTTGATGGGGCAGGGACCTGCAGAGCTGCCCTGACAGCTGCTGCCCCAGAGGCTGTGGCTCTGCCCCACCCTGGCTGGAGCAGCCTGGGGCAGTGCAAGGTGTCCCTGCCAGGGCAGGGGTGGCACTGGCTGGGCTCTGAGGCCTTTTCCAAGCCAAAGCACTCTGTGATTCCGTGATTCCATCCTGGAACGCCTGCACCGTGCTCTGCATGATTTTAACACGCCAAGCACATCCTGTCAGCAGCAGAGAAGAGCCATCCCACACACAGAGGAATGAAGGAAAACCAGTTTCCTGTACATTTTGTTGTGTCCATGCCTCTCCTTCCCAGCCCCTTCCCATGCCCCCTGATAACTGCAGTGGAACACTGTGTATTTCCAGAGGCACGGAATCACTGTGCCTGGAAAAGCCCTCCAGGAACAGCGAGTCCAGCCTGGTCCCAGAGCAGCCAGTGCCACGTTCAGCCATTCCCTGGCACCTCCAGGGATGGGCACTCCCAACCTCCCTGGACAGACCCTTCCTGTGCCTGAGCACCCTTTCCATGGAGAAATTCCTGCTGATAGCCCAGCTGAACCTCCCCAGGACAGCCTGAGTGTCCTCTTGTGCTGTCATTTACTGACCTCACCTCTGGCCTCTCTCCCAGCTACACGGAGCATTCCATAACACTTACAGAAATTACGAGAAAAAAGAAAGAAAAGGGAAAGAAATCAAACCAACAGCAAGAATCTGCCGTGTCAGGCGACCTGGGAGCCCTTTTTGCCAAGAGTGGAATTTTCAGCCAAAGCAGGGGGAATTGATGGGTCAGGAACCGCAGAGTTGTTTTAAACAAATCCTCCTGTAATCTCTAATGCTGCTGCTTGTTTGGAAAAGCAATTTGTGCATGACAGGACAGGTGTGTGTGTGTGTGTGTGTGGGGAAACCTGCTCAGCTCCTCAGCCAAGTATTCCCCCTTAGCAAAGAGCATCTTAAAATATCCCAACGTGGGCATCTCCTGCTGGAAAGCAGCACTTGGCACTGCTCTCTGCTGAAAGCTGGAACTCCTCCAGGGCCTCTCCTCACATCTATGAAGAAAACTGAGTGCTTCTAAGTACTTTAACCTGTTGAAGCTGATGTTCCCCCGTTTGTTTAGATAGCTTGGTATGTGGCTCTGTGTACTTGGCAGACTCGAGAACATTAAAATAATAATAAAAAAGGTAAGTAATTTATGATACTAGTTTGAGGCCAAACTGCAAGAGGTAGCTGAAGGAGTTGCATTACAAAGTAACTAAACAAGGTCTACCACTCCTCTGAGATCACATTCCCTTAGGTGAGAGGCAACAACTCAATGTGTATTTTACATTACTCATTCAATAACTTATCTCCATCATTACTCATCCCAATAATTAGGAGGAAGGAAGGTTTATATAAATAGCTCCTTGAAGAACACCCTAATTCAGAGCTCATTCCCTAATTGAGCTGATGGCCAGCACTTTCTGGAAGGGCCCAGCTCTCTGGGATGATTCCATCCCCGCTCAGCACACGCCCAGAGCTGCGGGACACAGGCAGGAGGAAGAGCAGCCTGGCAGAGTGCTGAGCAGGCGTTTCCTGGGCTGCAGGGAGCAGACAGGCCTGCAAAGCTCGTCTGACCACGGCAGATTAATGGCTTTAACAAATAATCTGGGACCGTGGGGTGCTGGCGGGGCACGTTCCCAGCTCCTGGCTCACAGCACAGGGACACGGCACAGGGACAGTGACCCCCTGGGAGCTGGGGCTCCCCACACCTTGGCAGCTTCTCCCCAGAAAAGGAGAGGTTTTGCCAAAGGTGATGGTGCACACACTAAAACACCGACCTCCCACCTCAAAACGTGGCTTAAAACCTTGGCAAAGTCAAAGTTCCGAGGAGGATCAGACTCAAAGTTTGAAATCAGAAGCTCTGGTCTTAAATAGGGTTTTACTTCAAAGGTCTCACTGACACTTATCCAGCCGTGAAGCTCTTCCAAGGTTGGAAGGGACCTCAAAGATCAGCAGATTCCACCCCTGCCTTGGCAGGGACACCTTGCACTGTCCCAGGCTTCTCCAAGCCCCATCCAGGCTGGCTTTGGGCACTGCCAGGGATCCAGGGGCTGCTCTGGGCACCTGTGCCAGGGCTCCCACCCTCCAGGGAGGAATTTCTCCCCACACACAGAGTAAATCTGCAGTCTGGCAGATCCCACTCAGCCCAGCGAGGGCAGGTCTGTGTCCCCAGGCTCTGAGGGCAGTGTCCCCCCTTGGCAGTGTCCCCAGCCCACGCTGTTCCTGTCCCTGGCACACAGCTGCCACCCTGTCCCCGCTGGGTCACACAGGCAGCAGTGCCACCAGCCTGGGACCTGCACACCCAGCACAAGGGAGATGGCACTGCCCAGCAGCTTCCCAGCCTGGGGGTGGCTCAGCCAATGTCCTTTGCCATTCATCATCCCCTGCTCCATCCTTCAGCACTGGTGGATTCGGTGACACAACTTCTAAAAGAAAACCATTTGCTCATTTGCACAGAATTCAAAGTTAAATCATTTAATAGGCTGGTCCCTGGCTGTGCTGTTTGGTTTTCAGAAATAATTTCTAACACTTGGGACATAGAAGTTCCTCTGTTGTAAAATACATCAAAATTTATCTGCTATGCACTTAGAAGATTTTTCAATTTTTATTAGACTGGTGTATTTCTTCAAGACAATTCTATAAAATACAGTTGCTCCCTACTCCATTTTCAGTGTGGGGCATCCATACTCTCATAGTGCCATCACTAAAAAGGCCCTGGCACAGGTGCCCAGAGCAGCTGGGGCTGTCCCTGGATCCCTGGCAGTGCCCAAAGTCAGGTTGGACATTGGGACCTGGAGCACTTGGGACAGTGGAAGGTGTCCCTGCCATGGCAGGGCTGGCACTGAATGGGCTTTGAGGTCCCTTCCACCCCAAACCAGTGTGAGTCTATGACAAAGGTTGGATTCAGTGTCTAATCCAACATCAAATTAAGTGAAAGTAAAGACTAAATCTAGTTTAAGCACTAGATTTGGTCTCTGGTGCCAAATGAGAAATCTCAGCTTAATAAATGAAAACAAAATCTTGAGAAAGCAGGGATAGACCTCCTTCAGGACCTGAAAGGAAGAAGAGGCAGTGAGCAGAACCCCCAAGGATTCAGGTGGCAAAGGCAGTGTGAAGTTTCCACTCCAGAAACGTCACTTTGAACTGGAATTGCGCCAGCCTGGCAAACTTCTCCTGTCTTATCTGCCCTGCCACAACGTGCACCACACACTTCCTCCAAAAACAAAGAACAAACACTCCACACCAGTCTGCACCCTGCACCAACTGGACCCTGCAAACATCACTCTTCCCCACTGCTCCTCAGACTGGAGCCTGCAGGGGAGAAGCTGAAGAAGTTTTAGCTCTCAGGGTGCAGGAACCCACACAGGTCACACAACCACATCAACCTAACAGCTGTTGTCTAATTTTAGACAATGAGTCAATAAACACAGCTCTGTCCAGAGAAAACAATAACTTCAATATCTGCTTTAGCAGGGGAGATGATCAGCATTTCTGAGCGTGTGGCTCAGGCTGCTCCCAGGGAATAGCTGAAACATCCCCATTTTCTACCACCGACACTTCCAGGGCTCTGCAGAGCTCCCTCTGCTTTGGCTGTTGGCGATGGAATGATGCAGACTGTGCTCACAGTGACACACAACAACTGCTCTGTCATCCCTGTCCCCAGCGCTGCCAAGGCTTTCATGCTGCCACTTTGTCCAACACAGAGGAAAGACTAATTAGGAACGCCAAGAACAAGCACAGCATTCCACAACAGCCTCTGAATTCCTGCCGAGCTGAAGTTTTCTTATTTCACACACTCCAAGTCCTCCAGCTTCAAAGAACACATTCCAGATGCTAAATAACTGAGTTCTAGAGGTGTACAAAACTTTTTTGTCGAGTTAAACTTGTTGGATATAAATCAGGAAACATCATCCCAGAGTTTATAATGCACTTGGATATGAGTATCAGGAAAAAAAAAAGGCACATCCTGTTCTATTTCTGCACCCTTCCCAGCAAGGGAGTAAATTCAGTTACCTACCGATACTTGACTTTGATCTTGTCATTGTCAGGGTTGCAGTAAAGCCTCTCCAGGTGCTCCTGGGAATCGTTGGTCACACTTTGCCACCTCTGGGTCGCTGTCCTCCTCACCTGCCAGTGGTAGGGTAACACTGTGTGATGCTTGGGACAGTCACTGCCATAAACACAAGTGCCCTGGAGAAAATCCACACAGATTTCAATCCCGTCCTCCTGGTGGGTGTGATACTGCAGCTGGTTCAAGAGCTCAAACACCAGGTCAAGGGAAGCCTCTTCACTTTTATCCTGGAATATCCCAGCACTGAATTTATTGCCTGGGGTCAAGTTGTATTGCACTGGACAGCTGTTCTCCTGCAGTAAGCCAGATGTGTGGCTTTCCAGAACCTTGTCAGGGAACAAAGGACAAGCTGCACCATCACCAGCACTTGGGTGCAAAGGATGATCCTGGAATGATTCATTACCGTTATCAGCAGCAGTTCCAGGAGTTTCTGGGGAGAAACCTTGCTCTCCTGGCTGCACGTCCTGCTCAGGGTGCCCGGGGGAAGGACGAGCTCCCGCCAGCTGACCCTGCACATCTGGAGCTGTTGGCATCAGCACAGTCACATTATTTTCTGCCTGGGGGCAAGAGGTACCGAGGTCCAGACTCTTTTTCACAGCAGGTTCACATAAATCCCCACGGCCACCACGCTGGCCTCGGGACACAAAGACCCTGTCCAAGGCCCTGGCTCCCAGCAGGCTGGTGAAGATGGGCCGCAGAGCCCGCAGAGTTTGGGTGTCCAGTCTCTTCTGCGTTTGCTGCTTCTTCTTGAACAAAGGCTTCACCAGGGGGATCTTCTGAGCCAGCCTCACCTGGGGAGGAAAGTCCTGGGAAGGAGAGCACTTCGTGGCTGGGCAGGGAGCCTGGGGCACCACGCACGCCGGCTGCGGCTCGGTGTCCATCGGACACAGGCTTTGCTCTCTCCGAATCACTTTCAAACGTCCCACAGCCTCCCAGGAACCAACCTAGGGCAGAAGGGAAAACAAGACAGTTAATCTCTCGAATTGCTCACGGTTGACACGAACGAGATCACCCCTGAGAGAGGATTTTGAGGCAGCAACAGCAAACTCCTCCCCTGGCTGTGACTGCGGGTAGCCCTTAGGCACGTAAAGCATGAGAACAGCTCTAGTGGGGCTAATTAATGCCAAACCCACGCTGCTGCTCTCCCCGCACACAGGCTCTGAGACACTCCGGCACGCAGTCCCCGAGGGTGGGCAGGAAAGGGGGATGGATGCTCGGCCGCCTCCTCCCTGTCAGCATGTTCAGCCAACACGGCTCGGGCTGGTTCTATCCCACCGGAGAGAACACGGCATGATTCCTGTGCCTCCCTCACACACAGACCCGAGGAGCATGAGACACATCCCCTCCCCTGCACCTCAGACATTCCCGCAGCATTTCCTGAGCAAACCTACACGTTCCCATTCTCCCATTCCCATGGCATGTGTCCTCCCGCGTGTCACCTCCCACGGCAAACTTCGCCCCGTGCCATCCCGGGGGCTCTCCCGGAGCTGCCACCCGGCCCTGCCCTGTCCCCGGCGGTGACACACCGCGCTGCTCTGCCACGCTGGGCACCAGGAATTAAAACTGGGCAGGCAAGCAAACACAAGGCTGATGGTTACTCAGGAGCCGAGAAAGGCATTACTGGCAAGCTGCAGAATTGTATTATTTTAAAGCACAAATAAGCAGCGTGTCTCGTACGTCACGAAAAGCAAGTGCCTTTTAATCAGGAATGCTGTAATATTTGATTACATTTAATTAAACCCTCTTCAATCTCACATGCAGGCTCAATGCTCAGAGTGGAGCACATTAAGGATTACTTCCTGGATAAATGCATTCCGAGCAGAGTTACTCCTCACTTCAAAACAAAATCCCAAAAAAAAACCAGAGAAAATTTGGCAATAATTTCTTACTACCGATGATTTGCTCTGGAAAATTTCTCATTGAGCCTCCCGTATATTGGAACATTCATTTATAAGGTTTTTCCATTTCCCTGGGAAACAGCACATCAGAATTGCCAGGAAAAAGAAAAAAAAAAAAAAAAAAAAAAAAAAAAAAAAGTTGTGCCTCTCAAGTTTTCCCATTTTTAGATTACATTTAAAGCAACTGGTACATCTGTTTGGCAGTTATCCCCAAAGTCATCGATGTATCTGTGATTCTTCCACAGACATCAGGCAATTCCTCCAAAGCAAAAGCACCTTCAGGTAACTCCAAAGGTTTAAAAATCCTCGCCTCCGAAGGGAAGGAGATGTCGCCGTTGTCGCAGCCCAGGTCTCAGTGCCCTGGCGAGGAGCGAGAGGATCCGCCAGGGCTGCAGGACCCTGCAGCGCCAAGGTGCTGAGCGAGTGACTTCTGATCTCCTCCGCTGCTATTTCAACATTCGTATTCCTCACCGGAGCAGCACTGAAGTTTGGCTGCTATTTTTACAGAAGTGCCTCAGTGAGCGGAGCCGGATCCCCCAACGGCTCTAAAAATAAAGCGGCAGGAAGGACGAGGCAGCAGCAGCAGCAGCAGCAGCAGCAGCAGCGCTCCCGCAGCGATGCTCCCGCAGCCGCCGCGGTCTCGCCGGGGCTCCCATCGCACGCGAGCCGCTCTCCTGTGCACGGACAGCGCTGCTGGCCTCAGACACGCTTCACCAGCCAGCAAGGGGAGAGGCAGCCCAGGCACAGACCCCGAGCACGGCGGAGTGCCGGGCAGCCAGCCCAGCCGGGACCTACCGGCGCGGCTCCCTCGGCGCTGCTCCCGCGTTCTGACCCAAATCCGCGGTACCTCCAGAGCCAAACCACTTCGCTGGTGGGGGCAGACGGAACAAACACTGACCGCGGCCGGTGCGGGGTCAGCACCGCCGTGTCCTCACCGAGCCCCGCGCATCCCCCCCGCCTCGCCCGGCTCGTCCGGCTGGCTCCGCCGCCCGTTTAAATAGCGCTGCCGCGGCAGCCGCCGGGACAGCGACGACCGGGGCGGAGCGTGGGCGGCTCCGGCCGCTTCCCCGCCCCGGGGCCGGTCTCGCCCCGGTTCGGTCCCCCCGCGGCGCCGGCCGGGCTGCTGCCCGCCCCGTGCCCCCCGCCCCACGCCGGTGTCAGCGGCCAGAACCGAAAGCGCCGCCCGAGGCCGTTGCCAAGAGCGATAGGACGAGAGGCCCCTTCGCGTTTCGGTTCGGGCGGGCAGCGAGGCAGCGATGTCCCGGGCACGGCGCTCGCACGCAGCCGGGAACACGCCGGGAACACGCCGGGAACACGGAGCCGTGTCAGCTCCAGTCACGCAGCACGGAGGAACGCACCGTGCTCACGGAGGGCAGGCACGGCACCCGGAGCCTCCCCGCGCCGCCGAGCTGCTCCAGCCGCGCTAATTAATGAGTAAGAGACAAGCAGGGAGCCCGAACCGGAACAAAGTCACCCTGACTCACTCGCTGCAGCCCCTGGCACGGCGCTGCCCCGCTCCTGCCGGTGACACACTCCGGAAAAGCGAGCGTGGAGCGGAACAGGTTTCCCAGAGAGGCTGTGCCTGCCCCAGCCCGGAAAGTGCCCGAGGCCAGGTTGGACCGGGTTGGAGCTAACCTGCTGTCCCTGCCCACGGCAGGGTGGTGCAATGGGATGAGTTTTGAGGTCCCTTCCCAAGCCGTGCTGTGATAAGGCCCCAAAGGCAGCTCTTGTGTGTTTACAGAGGGTTTTATAGGTGGGATTGGTTAGGAGCAGTTGGCTCCTTTGTCCCGTACGTGTGCGGGAGCACGGCCGGTTGGGCTGTCCGTGCCGGCCCGGCGTGCTTCCCTGCTGAATCACCGCCTGCTCCCAGAAACCCAGCGGGGCACGGCCGTTCACACCGACACTAACCACAGCCATGCTTCCACAGCGCTAATAACGCCAGATAAGAGAAATGATAAAGGAGGAGTAGCTGCAGAATGTAACATTGGTGTTGATGGAACACCTATTGTATCATCTGCCCATCCCTGGAAACGCCCAAGGCCAGGTTGGATATGCTTGGAGCAACCTGACCTTTGGAAGGTGTCCCTGCCCATGGCAGGGGCTGGATCGAGATGAGCTTTAAGGTTCTTCCATCCCAAAGCACTCTGCGCTTCCACAACTCGTGCTCTTGTTTTCTTTTCAAAGCCGGTATTTCATTCCTTGCGCTCAGTGACTTTATGAAATTACGCATACAGAAAACAAAGGCAGCTGGAAGGAAACTTGTTTTAAGGTGGCACAAATGGTACAGCACGGTTGGAAAATATTGCACAGCTGCATTTATAGTGCAGGTAGGATATGCCATTTTCCCAACAAATTACAGAAATGGAGCTCCATGGAATCAGAACTTTTGGGGTTGGGAAAGACCTTAAAGCCCATCCATTCCCACCTTCCACTATCCCAGGCTGCTCCAAGCCCCATCCAACCTGGCTTTGGACTTCCAGGGATGGGGCAGCCACAGCTTCTCTGTGCCACGGCCTCCCCACCCTCACAGGGGAGAACATTATCCAATCTAAACCTACTCTTTGCCACTTTGAAGCCATTCCCCCTTGTCCTGTCCCTCCATGTCCTTGTAAACAGTCCCTCTCCAACGCAGCTGGAGAGAGAATGACTCAAGGTGGCATCTGTATCTGCAGGAGCTGAAACCAAATTATCATCTATAAATTAATTGAGCTCTTGAGTGTCTGAAGCATCAGACAGAGCCTCCCAGTCTGTCTGGACTGGGGCATTCCCGAGCAGGGTGACTGGGATGTGTCACATCCTCGTTCAGGGAGAAGGAGCTGCTCACACACACTTGTATTTATGTGCCACCACCAGAAGAGAAATTACCACTTTGGAATAGCTCCCTTCACGCATGAGCTATAAATAAGAGGCACATATGGCTGATCTGCACACTGGGGTGGGCACAGCTCCTGCTGCACTGGGGCTGGGAGGATGGAACCAGGCAAAGACACAGGCTGGAATAACCATCTTTCCCCAAATATATAATTGAAAGAAACAGAGCGCACCAGACCCTCAGACACCCATTTGAGGCCACTCCACACAAATATAGAAAGAAACTCTGACCACCGTGAAAGCATGATCTCATCTTTAAATACATGTTTAAATCTTAAGCAAGAGAAAGAAAGCTTTAATTATTTCTTTCAGATGGTAAACGGCCCCAGCTGAATACAGCAATTTACAACTCTGACTTGCAAATACAGGATAATCAGCATGCACACTTGGATTCGCTGATGGAAAGAGGGGAAACATCTGACTTAAATGTTTGTGATAAAACAACAAAGCTCTCAGGCTCCAACACATTTTTTTCTAATGACAGAACTCCTTTTCCACCTCAACTCTTGCACAATGAACATTCTTCACTTCCTAAAGCACATCCCAGTACAGGAAAGTTCATTGTCCTTTCTAGTGTTTCACACAAAGCGACAAACATCAGCGTGCAGACAACTAACAAAGGGATCATAGAATGGTTTGGGTGGAAAACACCTTCAATCTCACCTCATTCTCACCCCTCCTTGGGCAGGGACACCTCCCACAGTCCCAGGTGCTCCAACCCCAATGTCCAGCCTGGCCTTGGGCACTGCCAGGGATCCAGGGGCAGCCACAGCTGCTCTGGGAATCCATCCCAGCCAGGAATTCCCAATTCCCAATCTCCCATCCATCCCTGCCCTCTGGCACTGGGAGCCATTCCCTGTGTCCATCCCTTGTCCCCAGTCCCTCTCCAGCTCTCCTGGAGCCCCTCCAGGCCCTGGCAGGGCTCTGAGCTCTCCCTGGAGCTTCTCCTCTCCAGGTGAGCCCCCCCAGCTCTCCCAGCCTGGCTCCAGAGGGGCTCCAGCCCCCTGGGCATCTCCTCGGCCTCCTCTGGACTCTCTCCAGCAGCTCCACATCGTCCTGCTGTTGTTCCCCAGGTCTGGGGCAGCTCTGCAGGTGGGGTCTCACCCGAGTGGGGCAGAATTTCCCCTCCTCTGCTGTCCACACTGGGGCTCAGCCCAGGGCAGGGGGCAGGGGAGGTTCTGGGCCAGGTCGGGTCAAGTGGAGATCCCAAATTCTTCTCCTCAGGGCTGCTCCCAGTGCCTGGACTTACACTTTTCCATCCCAATGCTTGATGGCAAATGCTAATAATCCCCTGCAAACACCACCTCAAGCTCTGCCCTTGCCAGCCAGCCAGGGCGGGTGAGCACCCAGGGAAAGGAAAGGCCAGCGATGCAGACATTTATAAAAGTTACCAGGAGGGACAAGGGAACCTGTGCTGTGCTGGCTGTGCCTCTGTGACATCTGGGGAAATGATGCCAGCAGGTTTCCCTGATGGGAAGGAAGGGCAGGAGGGCAGCAGAGGTTCATTCAGCTGTGCTCAGGAAGCCTTGGCTGGACTGACACCTACTGGGCTCCACCTGCTGCCGTCGGTCCTCAAGGCAGGGAAGGCAGAAATGTCAGTCTAAACACGTCAAGGTGAAATTCTCTACTCAATAAATTCATTTATTAATGAATTTATATTAATTCTGTTCATTCAGTCTATTAATGTCCAGACCTTATCTGTTTATACATGATAATCTAGAGCAGGTCAATGGAAGAAGGTGGTGCTAGTCTTTAAAATAAAAATTTTCTTGTTGGTTACATGTTCACTGTGTGTTGGGGATGTTTTAGTAAACCTCATATTTTTCTTTTTTGCACTGCTCAAAAGAAAAGTCCCAGAACTAGAGTGGTTCCAATTAATCAATGAAACCTTTTGAATTCAGACCCAACTTTTACATTTGCAGCTGGCAGTAACAAAATCATTTCCTTGGTCTCAAATTCTCCCTCTTTTAACATCTCATACTAGTAATTAAAAGTTTTGAAAGCACAGCATGCCGTTTCTCCTACTGACTGTCAAGTCTAGTGAAAACAGCACTTACCAGGGAAAAATATTATGTATTATACATGAATATAACCACACCTCTGGTTATTTCACTATCAAATAATCTTATCTCAGGAAGTGATTTAGGATAGATGAATTTGGACAGGGAACACATGCTTCCAAGGTGGGCCCTTTGCCTGGAAATGTGTCAGGAGTTAATCATTTCTGCAGAGGAATGGACCCTGACCCCTGGCCAGCTCTGTGCTTTCAGGACGTCAGCACAGCAGCACCCTGCAGCCAGAGCAGGGTAATTCCTGAACTCCTGTCTCATGGAACACCAAATCATTTGGCACAGAACTCATTTCTCTTTCTGTTCCATCACTCACACTCAGCTCAGCAGTTTCTCCAGAACTCAGCCTTCTAGGTGGAGTTTCCTTCTGCAGCTGGACCACTCTGAGGGGGAAATTAATGATGCTTCCAAACTAAAACAATAATATTTTTTAAAAATCCCTACACTTTATTTTTGAAATGCATGTAGTGAGCATTTGCAGGGAATCAGGGATAGACTGAGACCAGGTAACACTGGACACCAAAAAGTACCAGACTGGAGGGACACTCTGGGACATTGAACTGATTCCCTGAAGCACCCATCTGATTTGGAAGTTGATGTAAATACACAAATTAATACATGAAATTAGTGAAAATCTGCCCACAGTGGGGACAGGCTCATCTGGTTTAGATGGGATTTTGTTGAACTGCTGCACCCTCTCGTGGAAGTCTCTTAAATCCGTGTAAACCCTGGAAATTTATTCAAGGCCAAAGCAATCCTTAACAAACACAAACTGATTCATAAAACACCACTGAAGTTTGGTGACTTTTAAAGGATAATGATGATTCTGGAACACTTCCCAGGTGGATCCTGCCACCAGGTGAACAGTAACATGTGGATGGCACTGTTTTAGTCCTTCTCCTTTAGGCCAACTCCTTTTTGAACTAAACAAAGTGGGAATGTTCCTTTACAATGCAGTGTTGACCAACTGAAAGCAAAATAATTCCTAAAATTACCAGCTAGTTCTACCTAGCACACAGACAAATCACTGTCTACATTCAAATAATGTAATTAACACTCCAGGTAATTTACTATCTACATGCAAATAAAGTCAATTCTTCAACGAAAAATGCAATCAAATTAACAAAAGCATGTCTGGGACGTAACAGGCCTGTTTTACATCTGAAAACCAGCTAAGAGCTGCTCCTGGAGACGCTGAAGGTGTCACTGAAGATCTCTGTAGATAACCCTGGAAAAGGTCAGTCCTTACAAGAGAAAAGGGAGAGGCCTGTAAATTTGAATTCATCCCAGACTCTGCCCAACTCAAACAGCAAGGAGGGAAACAGGACTGTAAACACCTTAAACTGAGAATGACGTAACCAAACTGACAAAATTAATGCTAAATTCAACAACACATTTTTCTTGTAAGATGCAGAAACTGAAGAACCAAATCTGAGGCTCAGGGAGCAGCTGGGTGGGCCCAGGCTGCAAGAACACCTAAATAAAACCAGCCCTGGGATGATGCAGGAACAGCCAAATGCCTGCTCTGCTCAGCAGCTGTTCTTGGAAACAGCCTGAAGCGCGGTGAGTAGGAGATGCTCTGCTCTGCAAAGGAGAATCTGGACTTGGACATTTCTTTCCACAAGAATTCTGTGTGGGAGCTTTATTCCTGGGATTCATCCATCTGTGTGTTGCTGGATCCAGCATTCCTGAAGGGTACAGGATACTGCCTTGCTGCATTCATTCTGTTAATGACTTCTGTCTTTCCCATTTCCTAAGGTATTTAAAATTAGGAAAAAAAAAAATTGGTAGAATATTTTCTAACCAGGCTCAGGTTGAGCCATGATTGGTCAGCTGGATAACACAAATTTTCTGTGGATGCATGAATCCCCAGCTGTTCCAGGAGATGAAGCAGTCAGCAACACCCCCTTCTATTCCCTCAGCCAAAAAGCCTCACGTGGCACTTCAGTTTTAGCTCATCCTTCTTACTTTGGGTATTAGCACTGTAGGAGCAGTCAGCACAGGGATGGTCAACTCTTCTGACAACACACACGGGCTAAAATAAAATGTTCCTGTGGCCCGGGCCGAGCTGCTGGCCGAGCTGGAGGCTGCAGGAGTGGGGAAGCCCAGAGGTGACACGGGTGGGCAGGGGCAGCAGCAGGCTGAGCCCTCCATCCCACACTGCTGAGGGATGGAGCACGGCCGGGGGTGGGTGCCAGGATGACACATGCCAGGCTCAGAAATGCCATCTGCCTGCTCCCTGCTCCCTCCCACTGACGGGATCCAGCCTGCTGAACTGCGCTGGGATCGTCCCACTGCACCTCTGCTCACACAGCCCCAGTGTGGCACCACCGAGAGCCACTCTCAAGGACACAGCTCGCTGTCCCACGTGTAAACGACTGCTTGATTGCCCTTCTGCTGCGGTTATTTCCAAACAGTGCCTCTGACACTGCTTTTCAAAAGTGGCCAGCTCCAAACCGTTCCCAGAATAAATGCTGAGCAAGGCTGAATCTATTCCTAGACATGATTTCATTCATGTGGTCCACAGGCACAAGAACCTTAAAAATGCTAAAGAAGGAAACTGGAGCAGATGAGACCATTTCAAGACGTCAAAAATGGGTCGCATATGCTACAAGCTGAGCTGCCTTCACCGACAGCAAATGCCACAGAAATCCAGCAATTCCCAGCTTTTAGAAATGATTGGCACCTCTTTTGGGGGCTACATACCAGTGGAAAGTGTCCCTGCCCATGGAACAAGATGAGCTTTAAGGTCCCCCCCAACACGAATCATTCTGGGATTCCAAACCACATGGAGGGACTGATTTGTCTGGAAAATAACCCAGCCAGATTATGGCTCCACTTTTAAACCTCAGACACCACAGAATGTTTCAGGGAAAGCACAGCACACAGGAGAACTGGAAAGCCTCTCACTCACCCAGTTCTCACACACAGGGAGAAGCTGCTCAGCTCATGAGTGTCACGCTCATCCAAAGGAGGTTTTCCTTTGTATTTAAGCAATTCCCATCAACTGATCCCAAACTCAGCTCATTAATCCCTTCTTGCATCATAAATTACAGTAATCTGACACAAAGGTGCTTTGAGTCTATAAACACGAAAGTGGCAGCATTAAAATAAACAAAGCAAATCCTGCCAGGAAATGTCACTGCCCTCATTTAAAACTTTCAGCTTAGTCCACTTTGTAAGTCTGGAGAAAAAGTGAGAGCGGTGAAGACAATCCATAGATTTTCAGAATACTTATCATTGCTGCTGTGCTTCAGAAGAAATTTGGTAAGAAGCTAATTGCTAAGTTACAAAGACAACAGCATTCATTTTCCTGTTAGCAAGAGAGCTTTTGCTTTTGGATGTCAGAGCCTTGCTCCTCTGACCTTGATGCCTCACACTTCCAACAGTTTCTGAATGAGGATTTAGCCAAGATGCAAATTTAGGCACTTAAACAAAACTTGGAATTGTTTTATTTATTGTCAAATAAATAAAGTGGTGGCCCTGTTTATTTTTGGGGAAGCATCTGTGACACTCAGGGTATGAAGCTCTCACTGTACACAGAGTTCTGCCTGAAGCCAGTTTGCCAGTGGCAGGGGCTTTAAAAAAGCAAAGTGCTCATTTGTTTTTTCAAGAAAATCTTTCATCATTCCATTGCCTAAATCAATGTCCTGTTTCATCCTAATGGGGAGACAGATGGTCACTGGGCAGATTTCATTCCAAAATGACAGCATCCTTCCCATGTAAGCCAAACCAAGAACAAAAAGACTTAATTACATCCTACTACAACACAAAACAAATTTACCCAGATGAGAGGAAGGAAGAAGTCTGGGCAAGGGCAGAGATAATGACTAATCTCAATCTTGAAAGCATCTTAAAGTTAATTTTCCACACAGTTTCCAACTACTTTATACATCTCTAAGCATGCTATTTAATAAAAAAATTCACATGATTGGCAGCATTGATTAATTACTGATGTTTTCTACTAGAACCACAGAGTGGTTTGGGTTGGGAGGGACCTTAAAGCTCATCAATTCCACCCCACACCATGGGCAGGGACACTGTGGGTTTAACGTGTTTTACAAAGAAACCAACCCTGACCTCCACTCTTGCTGCAGAACACACTTTTGGGGGTGTCACCTAAGAGGCAAACTGCCTTTCCCACCTGTGGATCCGGGGACTGCTGAAAGCACTTCAGGAGAGGCTCACCCCTGGCAGTATCCAAGGCCAGGCAGGGCTGGATGGAGCTTTGAAGCCCCTTCCAGCCCGAGGCATTCCATGATTCCGTGCTGAGGGGAGGGCTGGCTCCCTGCCGGGGCAGCTGGGGAGCTGCACAGCTCCCTCTGTGCACAGCTATGCCCACAGTGGTACTCACGGGCGTTTCTGCTGCTCCTCAGAGCTCCTGTGCTTCATCTGACGGGCTGGTGCCTCCTCAAACCCAGCCTGGGCATCCTGCAGGAGACAGATTTCCAAGCCTGAAGGAAGGGCGGGCTGGCAGAGGTGTAACTCCCATAGCTGCCTGCAGATAACACGACATCAACAGACCCCGTTAGCACACTGCATCAACACACTGAATCTGAAAGTCTGCTCTGTTGGTCCTGGGAATTTATTATGAGCTCTAAAAGCAGAGTCCTACTGCACTCAAGTGTTGCAGAAAGCTCTGTCAAAATGAATTCATTTTGATCATATTTAACCTCACTTTAATCTCATTTCCACATAGCATTTCCTCATGGCATACACATGAAGTGTTTTCTTGGAAGCAGAGAACACTAGTAACTGGAAGGAAATAAATGGGGAAATGACTTGAATTAAATTTTAGAGAAATACATGCTTTGCTAAATGAAGTTGACACCAAAACGTTAAAGATATGAAGAGAATTGTCAGTCCAGGGGACAAGGAGTGCTGCAGCCAGCCCAGGCTATTGGAGGACAAGACCTGTACCCACTGATGTTCATCCCCAAAATCTCTGCGGGGCATTTGTCACCACAAACTGCAGAGGGAACGCTAAGAACAGTGAAAAGCAGGGCACTCTGCACTGCCCCCCAGGCTGGGCTGGGGCGGGGAGAGCAGCAATGGTTATAAAAGCCTACAAGAGGACAGAAACACTCTGGGAGCTGCAGGGTGGCACTTTTCACAGCGGGGAAAAACACGAGAGAAAACACGGCTCATTTCCATTCCTTCCCAGCCAAACTGAGACACCCCGGAGGGATCTCAGCCCACTGGGGACTCACCTGCCTCAGCCACGCAAACAGCGGGGCTACATCGGGACAGGATCGGGATGGGAGCGGGATGGGGATGGGGGTGGGATCGGGACTGGGATAGGATCGGGATAGGATGGAGATGGGGATGGGATCGGGATGAGGGTGGGATCGGGACTGGGATGGGATGGAGATGCGATCGGCACTGGGATCACGATGGGAATGGGATCAGGATGGGATCAGCACTGGGATGGGGATGGGATCGGGATGGGATGGGATGGAAATGGGGATGGGATGGAAATGGGGATGGGATGGAGATGGGAATGGGATGGAGATGGGAATGGGATCAGCACTGGGATCAGGATGGGAATGGGATCAGGATGGGATCAGCACTGGGATGGGGATGGGATCGGGATGGGATGGGATGGAAATGGGGATGGGATGGAGATGGGAATGGGATGGAGATGGGAATGGGATCAGCACTGGGATCAGGACAGGGATGGGGATAGGGATGGGATCGAGATCAGATCGGGACTGGGATCAGAATGGAGATGCAATCGCGATGGGAGTGGGATCCGGACTGGGATGGGGATGGGATCGGGATGGGGATGGGATCGAGATCGGATCACATTGGGATGAGGATGGGATCGGCACTGAGATCGGGATGATGATGGGATCAAAATCGGATAGGGACTGGGAACGAAATGGAGATGGGGTCGGGCCGTGTTGAGAGAGGGATCGGGCCGGCTGAGGGAGGGATCGGGCCGGTCTCGGGACCGGGCTGAAGGAGGGATCGGGCCGGGCTGAAGGAGGGATCGGGCCGGCTGAGGGAGGGATCGGGCCGGCTGAGGGAGGGATCGGGCCGGCTGAGGGAGGGATCGGGCCGGCTGAGGGAGGGATCGGGCCGGTCTCGGGGCCGGGCTGAAGCAGGGATAGGGCCGGCTGAGGGAGGGACCTGCCGGGCTGAGGGAGGGATCGGGCCGGTCTCGGGGCCGGGCTGAGGGAGGGACCTGCCGGGCTGAGGGAGGGATCGGGCCGGGTGAGGGAGGGATCGGGCCGGGTGAAGGAGGGACCTGCCGGGCTGAGGGAGGGATCGGGCCGGGCGAAGGAGGGACCTGCCGGGCTGAGGGAGGCACCGGCCCCGCTCCGGAAGCGCTCCCGCCCGCCGGGCCCGCCCCGCCTGACCCGGAGCCGCTCGGCCGCGCTGACGCTGCCTTGTCCCGCCATGGCTCCCAAGGGCGGCCCCGGCCGGCAGCAGTCCGAGGAGGATCTGCTGCTGCAGGACTTCAGCCGCAACCTCTCGGCCAAGTCCTCCGCGCTCTTCTTCGGCAACGCCTTCATCGTCTCCGCCATCCCCATCTGTGAGCGGGCCAGCGCGGGCGGCAGCCGGGAGCGGAGCGGCGGGTTCTGGGGGGATCAGCAGCCCTGGGGGAGCAAAATACCCTGGAAGAGGGGGATCAGCATCCCTGGGGGAGCAAAATACCCTGCAAAAGGGGGATCAGCATTCCTGGGGGGATCAGGAGGTTGGGAAGGAGGATCAGGAGGTTGGGAAGGGGGCCAGGGCTCCCCACCGCCCGCCGTGGGCTCAGTCCCGCTGCGGATCCCGGGGCTGCTGCTCCGAGCCCCGGCGGATCCCGGGTCCGGGCAGCGTCGGGTCCCGGTTCCGAGCGTTTGGGATCCCGGTTCCAGCCCCATTGGGTCCCGGTTCCGAGCCGAGTCCGGTTCCGGCCCTATCGGATCCTGATTCCAGCCGTGTCGGATCCCGGCTCCGGGCAGTGTCGGGTCCTGGTTCTGAGCGCCTGGGATCCCTGTTCCAGCCCCATCGGATCCCTGTTCCAGTCCCATCGGGTCCCGGTTCCAGCCCCACTGGGTCCCGGTTCCAGCCCCATCGGATCCCGGTTCCAGCCCTATCGGATCCCAGTTCCAGCCCCATCGGATCCCTGTTCCAGCCCCATTGGGTCCCTGTTCCAGTCCCATTTGGTCCCGGTTCCAGCCCCATCGGGTCCCGGTTCCAGCCCCATTGGGTCCCGGTTCCAGCCTCATTGGGTCCCGGTTCCAGCCCCATCGGATCCCTGTTCCAGCCCCGCCGGGTCCCGTCCGGCCCCGGTGCCGGTGTCAGTGCTGGTCCCGGTGCCTGTGCCGGTCCCGGTGCCGGTGCCGGACAGCATCACTGACGTGTCACCGCAGCAGCGCTGCCCGCAGGCTCTGCCGTGCTCACACAGCCCCTTCCAGCCACGGCAAAGCTCCTGTCCCCTGCCACGGTTCTTTTAATGCCGTTAAAACACCCCCGAGGGATTTTGGAAGAGTTGGCTTTGTGAGAGACTGTGGAATTACAGAGCTCAGATCCTGTATGGGGCTCCAGTATGGGGCGTTTCTCTTGGAGAGAAACTGCTTCCAATATCATTCTTTCTTTCTTTTCTTTTTAAAGGGCTTTACTGGAGAATATGGCATATGGATCTTGTTCAGTCTGCAGTCCTGTACAGCGTCATGACCCTCATCAGTACCTATCTCGTGGCTTTTGCATATAAAAACGTCAAGTTTGTCCTCAAACACAAGTAAGTTTGGTGCCGCTTTGAATTTATCATTTAAAAATTTAACAAAACTGCCATTTAGAACTGTAGTTTTTTATTAATAAGAAACGTTACTCAAAAAATATTTTGCACAGAAGTATCTCCTGATTAGTTTCTCTTGTTCTTTTGTAATTATAGTAAAATCTTGTCAGCTAAGAGTATGGGGAAATAGTAAATCCACCATCATGCTCCTTGGGTATCACCACAAATTATGTTTAAATTATAAATTATATTACATATTGGATGTGAATTATATTACTTTTAGTAATTGCTGTTATTATTTCTTACCCCTTCACCTTGACAGAACTATCGGGTATCTTGGCTAAGTTGTATTCTTCACTGTACAGAAAACTTCCTGTAATCCCAGGGCTGTGCTGGTGGGTTTTTCATTTCTGAAGTGTGACATGAGTGGTGGTCCTTACAGAGTAGCCCAGAAAAGAGAAGATGCAGTTTCCAAGGAGGTGACTCGCAAGCTGTCCGAGGCAGACAACAGGAAGATGTCCCGCAAGGAGAAGGATGAAAGGTGATCTCTCTGTCCTCTTCCTTCTCTCCCTTGTTGTAGGAGTGCCTTTGGTGTCTGTGAGGCTCTGGGTGGGGCAGTAGGGACTGTGCTGGGCGCTGTTTTTCTGTCTTCTGGTGAGCAGCAGCTGCAGGGTAGCTCGTGGTTCAGCTTCAGGCCCTTTTGAGCAGAACTGTCAAGGGCAGGTCTCAGATGCACTGAGTGTTAGAGGGAATCCCCAGTGGGACTGCAGGATGGGAGCTTTGGAGCCAAACTCTCTGTTTTCTGGAGACACTACTGCACACTTCATCGTGTGGGTGTGCCTGGATATCCCCATCCCTGGCAGTGCCCAAGGCCAGGCTGGACAGGGCTGGGAGCAGCCTGGGACAGTGGGAGGTGTCCCTGCCATGGCAGGGGTGGAGTGGGATGAGCTTTAAGGTCCCTTCCCACCCAAACCATTCCAGGATTCCGTGATAGCCATTGATTTAAATATATTTGAAATTTTATCTCCTAGGATTTATATTGATTTAAATATATTTGAAATTTGCTTCTAGGATTCTGTGGAAGAAAAATGAAGTTGCAGACTACGAGGCAACAACTTTCTCCATCTTCTACAACAACACTCTCTTTCTGGTCCTGGTTATCATCGCTTCCTTTTTCGTGCTGAAGAACTTCAACCCCACTGTGTATCCTTTATCCCCACCCCAAAACCCCCACAGCCCCACTCCTATTAGCTGTCACCACTCACTGTAGCTGTCCTGTGGGCAGTGGCATTCCTCTCTTGGTACCTGCAGCCCACTCTAGTACAGCAGCTTAGAATGCTGAAACAAAAACAAGAGTTTACAAAAAAAAAACTCTCCCAGTTAAAGTCCCTTAAAACATGAGATGTTTTAAGGAAATTGCTTGGACAGTCTACAGGATCCTCCTGGCTTTGCCATTTCCATTGTGCTTTTGGAGTGAGGACACAGCTCAGTTTCCTGCAGACTCTGTGTCAGTGTTGGTTGCCTGGAGCTCTTCCCTGACAGGATGCTCTAGCTCCAGTAACTCACAAATAAAATGTTTTGTTTCTGTAGGATATTAATATTGCCAACAGGCCAGTTAATTCAAGATCTGTATTTATAAAACTTGTAAGAGAACAGGCTGAACTTTATGGGTGTCTTAATTGTGAAGGTGAGTTCTGAAGCTGTGTTTCAGGCTGCAGTATTCCAGTTTTAAAACTCCAGGGAAAGACCATTTAAATTCCTTCCTTTTCATAAAACTCCTACCAAATGTTGTGTACCAAAGAAGGATCTTGACAATTCCTTAACCTGTTCCCTGCAGAAACTACATCCTTTCTATCAGTGCTTCCTCAGGACTGATTGCTCTGCTGTCCACAGGGTCCAAGTAGACACAAAATCCTCAGCAGTTTCTGTGAGAGGCTTCAGCTGCCATGGAAATGCCTAAGGGTGGAATAGGAATAATTTTCTTTTTTTTTTTTTAGCATGAGGAAAACGTGGGGAGGGTTTGAATCCAAAATGGTTGAATTGTGTTAACTTTTGGTATCTTTACATGATATTTGATATTGCAGTTACTCAGTTTTGGGTTTTTTTTTTTTTACTTAGCAAGGAGAGGGAGTGGGGTGTGAGCTGTGAGCAGACATCACCTTTCTGCAGCTCCACCCTGGGGACAATCCATTTATCATTGTAACTTGAAAAGTTGTAATTAAAACGAGCTTTTTTTTTGCAATTTGATTCCTTGTATTTTCATTCTTCATTTTTTTAAAAAACGGGGATTTTCATATCTAGGTTTGTCAACTCTTTCTGCTTCCAGAAGAGATGAGACTTCTACAAGCTAACATATTCCTTAGAAGCACTGCTCATTTTTGAGTAATGTGGAGTCAGGACAAAACCTAAATCTCCTAGGAAAACGCTTTTGAAGTGGTTTGAATGTACTTTTTTTTTTCATTAATCTTCAAAGTTGTAAGTAAAAAATCCTGTCACTCTCTGCACAGCTTAAGAAAAAAGCTTTAGCTGGCTTTTAATAATGGGTTTATCAGA